CTTTTAATTTATTTATGACCATAGCGAAATGCGATATATATATGTAAATACAGTTATTCTGACAAATGTTTTAAGCGACATAAAAGTAAGTTTGAGTAAAATATGAACCTAGAATATTTAAGTAAGTAATAAAGTAATATTAAGTGTAATATGATAATTCAGCTTGAAACACAGGCTTGGTAGTCCCTGAAAACAATTCGATCAACGTTGAACAGACTTTCAACTTGTTATATGCTTCATGAGACGATGTTCCATAAGCCATAACTTACTGAATATTCTGATTGAATGATATAGATATTCACATCCAAAACTTTTACCGCAAGTCGTTAGATAGATGTATAGACACAGGCACAATTGTAGACGCCCAGCTTCGTTTGCGCAAATGGCCTGATCCTACTGAGTATTGCCTGCTCTCCGGCTACTGGCAGTCTGGTGGGGGAAAGTACCGACCGCTAAATGGTTCTATTACGTTAAGATATGTATCTAAGCACTTAAACATTCAAAGACAGTCGTTTGAAGCAATAACTCCAGTTGTGCGCGCAGAAAAAGCAATTGTCTTGTCAGACCAAATGTGCCCTGAAGGAATTGTTTGAAACATGTAGGACTAACACGATTGTTATCCCATCTATGTGGTAATATGCTGTAATACAAACTGTTGGAAATATTACTAAAGCGAGACTTTCACACAGATGTGTCACTGTAGAAAATGTTAGAAGGGCAAAGCAATAACTAGTCAAAATAGTTAGAAAGGATGGCTATCTATTAGTAAGATGAAACTCTAAATGAACAACCCAAACCAATTCGTGTGAACTAATGACAAAGATGTCGTGGCTGGTATGTAGATCGAAATATGGTAAGAAAGGTGTTTTCATTCCCAAAACATACCTGATTTTTCCAAAGTTGATATGAAAAATATATGAAATATATTCTAAAGTTGCGCTCGTACTGAGGAAAGCAATAACCTGACATAATGCATGAAATGTAGCAAAAATATGAATCTTTGAAGAAACAGTTTTTGTGGAAGTATGATAGAACACTGTGATGGAGGTCTTTCTGTATTCTTTATGAGTCTTCACTTTTGTCTGTTCCCTCTGTCTTTGAATTGTCAATATTTCAATAGTCCTGCGTCACACAATATTTAACAGCACTTTTTGCCGGATACATCAAACTGTTGCGCCACATGTAATATCCCAAATTGCCCATTTTCATGTAGTTGGTAATGATTTAATACACCCTTTAGGTGTAACAATCTAATTTCAACACTATTAGTAATAAGCGAAGGTGGATTATTGCACAGTAGTGCAAACAGTGTGGGGTAAATTGGCATTGCGGCTGTAATGATTTTATAACATAGCGCCGCAGTTACTAGACTGTAGAGGAAAATTGATCGCAAGTGGAAACCGCATGACAGAATATTTGTTGATTTGACTTGCTCATATAATTTACATTTGTACTTATGTTCGTAATAATTAGATTAATTGGTTTGATCTTTCTTTATTTGTTCAGATAGATGATTTGTATTCTTTCATTATTTCTTCGAATTGTTTCTGTTTATTTCCTTTTTTTGTCTTCTTTGTTTAAATTTTTTCATTTAGTACCAATGGTAACTTATTGTATTTATACTTTTATATGTTACTTCGTGCTTTGCTTGTCCAAAGTATTATGTATTGCCTTATGTTTTGGTGCCGACATGAATATAAGTGTAACTTGAGTGTGTCGTCACCATGTTTATGTCAGTATATTTAAAGAATTCATATTTAAATAATCTATATGTTTCAATAATTAAATAATTATATGTTTCAAAAATTAAAGAAAATTACTTACCCTGATGTGTCGTCAAATTGAAGGAGAGTTCTGCCGTCAGCAGGCATGGCAGAAACACCAGGAGGTCCAGAATCCTCATCTTGGCGTTCTCGGTCGACCTGTTGGAGTAAGCGGGGACATCAAAGCAGCGTCCTCCCTCCGCTGGCAGCTCCTATTTATGGGAAAATCGACGAACCGCGTCGACTGCAGAGTAGGCAGAAATGTCAGACGATCAGTCTTTATCGTGCCAAGACAGCTGTACAGAAAGTGCGAAATGGAACGAAATACTAAGAAATGAAATGAAAGAAAACAAAATATGAAATAAAGACTAAGCTTTAACTTCCAACAATAACTATAAAGAATTGGGACTTGCCCCAAATTTGTAGTTAATGCCTTGTACCAACACAGATGAACTTTCATACTAAGAAAACAAAATATGTACAGCTACATCTATGTTAACACAATGACATGAAATACGTGTAGAAATATAAGGCAAGGAACTTTTAAAATTTTAAAATTTTAAATACAGAAGGGGATTTTTCCGGGTGAAGAAATTAGCCACGCAAATAC